GGTGACAAAGATTAAGCAAGAAAGAGAGGGCTGGGCGGACTGCATTTTCTTGGATTGTCGGAAAGCCTTTGACACAGTACCGCATAAGAGGCTGGTACATAAGCTGGAGAGACAGGCAGGTGTAGCTGGTAAGGTGCTCCAGTGGATAAGGGAGTATCTAAGCAATAGGAAGCAGAGAGTTACGGTGAGGGGTGAGACCTCCGATTGGCGTGAAGTCACCAGTGGAGTCTCACAGAGCTCTGTACTCGGTCCTATCTTGTTTCTGATATATGTAAATGATCTCCCGGAGGGTATCGATTCATTTCTCTCAATGTTTGCGGACGATGCTAAAATTATGAGAAGGATTAAAACAGAAGAGGACTGTTTGAGGCTTCAAGAAGACCTAGACAAGCTGAAGGAATGGTTGAACAAATGGTTGTTAGAGTTTAATCCAACCAAATGTAATATAATGAAGATAGGTGTAGGGAGCAGGAGGCCAGATACAAGGTATCATCTGGGAGAGGATATTCTTCAGGAGTCAGAGAAGGAAAAAGACTTGAGGGTTGATATCACGCCAGACCTGTCTCCTGCAGCACATATCAAGCGAATAACATCAGCGGCATATGCCAGGCTAGCCAACATACGAACGGCATTCAGAAACTTATGTAAAGAATCATTCAGAACTTTGTATACCACATATGTCAGGCCAATCCTGGAGTATGCCGACCCAGCATAGAGTCCATATCTAGTCAAGGATAAGACTAAACTGGAAAAGGTTCAAAGGTTTGCCACCAGACTAGTACCCAAGCTGAAAGGTATGAGCTACGAGGAGAGACTACGGGAATTAAACCTCACTTCGCTGGAAGACAGAAGAGTTAGGGGGGACATGATCACCACATTCAAGATTCTGAAGGGAATTGATAGGGTAGATAAAGACAGTCTATTTAACACAAGGGGAACACACACAAGTGGACACAGGTGGAAACTGAGTGCCCAAATGAGCCACAGAGATATTAGAAAGAACTTTTTTAGTGTCAGAGTGGTTGACAAATGGAAAGCATTACGAAGTGATGTGGTGGAGGCTGACGCCATACACAGTTTCAAGTGTAGATATGATAGAGCCCAATAGCCTCAGGAACCTGTACACCTGTTGATTGACGGTTGAGAGGCGGGACCAAAGAGCCAGAGTTCAACCCCCTTAAACACAACTAGGTAGGTACAGTGGGCCTCACACCACCAGCCAGACACACAGTGGGCCTCACACCACCAGCCAGACACACAGTGGGCCTCACACCACCAGCCAGACACACAGTGGGCCTCACGCCACCAGCCAGACACACAGTGGGCCTCGCACCACCAGCCAGACACACAGTGGGCCTCACGCCACCAGCCAGACACACAGTGGGCCTCACACCACCAGCCAGACACACAGTGGGCCTCACACCACCAGCCAGACACACAGTGGGCCTCACACCACCAGCCAGACACACAGTGGGCCTCAAGCCACCAGTCAGACACACAGTGGGCCTCACACCACCAGCCAGACACACGGTGGGCCTCACACCACCAGCCAGACACACAGTGGGCCTCACGCCACCAGCCAGACACACAGTGGGCCTCACACCACCAGCCAGACACACAGTGGGCCTCACACCACCAGCCAGACACACAGTGGGCCTCACACCACCAGCCAGACACACAGTGGGCCTCGCACCACCAGCCAGACACACAGTGGGCCTCACACCACCAGCCAGACACACAGTGGGCCTCACACCACCAGCCAGACACACAGTGGGCCTCACACCACCAGCCAGACACACAGTGGGCCTCACGCCACCAGCCAGACACACAGTGGGCCTCACACCACCAGCCAGACACACAGTGGGCCTCACACCACCAGCCAGACACACAGTGGGCCTCACACCACCAGCCAGACACACAGTGGGCCTCACACCACCAGCCAGACACACAGTGGGCCTCACACCACCAGCCAGACACACAGTGGGCCTCACACCACCAGCCAGACACACAGTGGGCCTCAGGCCACCAGCCAGACACACAGTGGGCCTCACACCACCAGCCAGACACACAGTGGGCCTCACGCCACCAGCCAGACACACAGTGGGCCTCACACCACCAGCCAGACACACAGTGGGCCTCACACCACCAGCCAGACACACAGTGGGCCTCACACCACCAGCCAGACACACAGTGGGCCTCACACCACCAGCCAGATATACAGTGGGCCTCACACCACCAGCCAGACACACAGTGGGCCTCACACCACCAGCCAGACACACAGTGGGCCTCACACCACCAGCCAGACACACAGTGGGCCTCACACCACCAGCCAGACACACAGTGGGCCTCACACCACCAGCCAGACACACAGTGGGCCTCACACCACCAGCCAGACACACAGTGGGCCTCACACCACCAGCCAGACACACAGTGGGCCTCACACCACCAGCCAGATATACAGCCGGTCTCTTGCCACCAGCCGGACTTCGAAGAAATTACGTTTAAAAGCTACGAAAACAATATTAAGTAAATAGATTCAACTCGATAAAATCAATTTGAATTTAAATTGTATTGAGATCTCTAATGAAAATGAGATTAAAAACCATTGAATTTGAGGGGAAAATGCCAGGAACTATATTGGAATGTGTGTTATTGGAATTGTTACATTATGTTTCCTCAGGATCATTCTTATATAATTGTCCCTTTGAGACAGGAAATTTGCTCTAAAAATGTAATGGCAATCAAGCCAGCGCATAGCTTGTAAAACTGTTCTCTTAGAAACTATAACCGTAAATATTCTTTAAATTTAATGAATAAATTAATTCGAAAGTGAAAGAATTACAAAATTTGCAAGTTTTAGTACTGTTAAGCTTTTGAAGAATGTTCACGTCAAGGAAGTGTGTTAGGAAGCATGTTTTTAGCGGTCGACCTCTTATAAGTTCCTTGTAATGATTCTCGTGTTACTGAAACAACCCGTCATCATAATTCTAACTCCACCTAAGGCTAAAAATTGTCGTACTAGAAAATGGCAGCGGCTCACGACTTTGACATTGTCCCGTCTTCTGTTTTGGGTCCTCTGGTAGGTTAGGATAAGGGCATCTATTGCGACAGTTTCTGTACGCTGGGGCACCTTAGGAGGACGGGCTGGTTGAAGAACAGTGTGGGTCATATTGGTGCTTAATATTCATGTATTCAAAAATAAATTTGGAATACAAATGGGTTTTTGCTCCTCATATTTTCACATATTTACTTAAGTTATTTTAAAACACTTTGTTGTTGCCGCTGTTACTTTACTCAGAAGATATCTTTAATCATATCTTTATTTGAAAGTTCAAATTCAAATTCAAAATCTTTATTCATAAATTTACATTTACATTTAAGTCACACAAAATTACTTAATGTCTTCTTATACAATTACAAATAACGAATATATTTATGCTGCATAATTTAGATTTTTATTTAGATTTAGAAGCCATATGTGATATAATGATGTTTTAGTAAATGTTTCTTTTAGGGTTATCTTTGACCATCTATTACTTAGACCATCTCTTAGACTATCTCTTAGACCTTCTCTTAGTTAGACATTCTCTAAGTTAGACCATCTCTTAGACCATCTCTTAGTTAGACCTTCTGTAGTTAGACAATCTCTTAGTTAGACCATCTCTTACTTAGATGTTCTCTTAGTTAGACCATCTCTTAGTTAGATCTTATCTTAGTTAGATCTTCTCTTAGTTAGACCTTCTCTTAGTTAAACCATCTCTTAGACCTTTCTTAGTTAGACCATCTCTTAGTTAGACCATCTCTTAGTTAGACCATCTCTTAGTTAGACCATCTCTTAGTTAGACCATCTCTTAGTTAGACCATCTTTTACTTAGATCTTCTCTTAGTTAGACCATCTCTTAGTTAGATCTTCTCTTAGTTAGATCTTCTCTTAGTTAGACCTTCTCTTAGTTAGATCATCTCTTAGACCATTTCTTAGTTAGACCATCTCTTAGTTAGACCATCCCTTAGTTAGACCATCTTTTAGTTAAACCATCTCTTAGTTAGACCATCTCTTAGTTAGACCATCTCCTAGTTAGACCATCTCTCAGTTAGACCATCTCTTAGTTAGACCATCTCGTAGCTGGACCATCTCTTAGTTAGACCATCTCTCAGTTAGACCATCTCTCAGTTAGACCATCTCTTAGTTAGACCATCTCTTAGTAGACCATCTCGTAGTTGGACTATCTCATAGACCTTCTCATAGACCATCTCTTAGTTAGACCATCTCTTAGTTAGACCATCTCTTAGTAAGACCATCTCTTAGTTAGACCATCTCTTAGTTAGACCATCTCTTAGTTAGACCATCTCTTAGTTAGACCATCTCTTAGTTAGACTATCTCTTAGTTAGACCATCTCTTAGTTAGACCTTCTCATAGACCATATCTTAGTTAGACCATCTCTTAGTTAGACCTTCTCATAGACCATCTCTTAGTTAGACCTTCTCAAAGACTATCTCTTAGTTAGACCTTCTCATAGACCATCTCTTAGTTAGACCTTCTCAAAGACCATCTCTTAGTTTGATAAAATATCGTCGAGAATAACACCTTGGGATCACTTTAAAATATATTAGAATAACTTCACACACAACTGTAGTGATAATTACATATATTTTTTTATTTACAGTTTTAAGGAGAGAGAATACATAAGGAATTACAGTTATATTCAGCGTACCATACAACAATGAAACAAAGAATTTTGAAGGAGTATGAAAATATTTTAAAGACTAATTAAAAGTAAAAAAAATTATAGACAGCCAAGGGACACATAGAATGCAGTTGTAATGTGTTTCATAAATAATTAATCTGTTTCAAAAGCAGTATTTACCCCAGGTCTTACCTCAACCTGAACCTATTACAGTTACCTGTATTGTTTTGTGCTTTATTTTGTGTTGATATATTTAAATGCTTATTTGCGTGTACCATTTGTTAATTGTGACTATCAACCTTGATTGTACTTAGATCCCAAGGCTGTGAGGGCTGATGTCAGAATTGATGACCGTCTTGGATTATCTCTGAGCCGCAAGAGGACAACGGCCAGAGGGCAGCAGACAGAGGGCAGCAGCCAGAGGGAAGCAGCCAGAGGGCAGCAGCCAGAGGGAAGCAGCCAGAGAGCAGCAGCCAGAGGGCAGCAGCCAGAGAACAGCAGCCAGTGGGTAGCAGCCAGAGGACAGCAGCCAGAGGGCAGCAGCCAGAGGGCAGCAACCAGAGGAAAGGAGTCAGAAAGCAGCAGACAGAGGGCAGCAGATAGAGGAAAGAAGCCAGAGGGCAGCAGCCAAAGGGGAGGAGCCAGAGGGCCGCAACCAGAAGGAAGCAGCCAGAGGGCAGCAGCCAGAAGGCAGAAGCCTGAGGGCAGCAGCTTGAGGGACGCAGCCAGAAGGCAGCACACTGACTACAGCAGCCAGAAGGCAGCAGTCAGAGGGCAAAAGCCTGAGGACAGCAGCCTGTGGAACGCATTCAGGGGCAGCAGAAAGAGGGCAGCAGCCAGACGGCAGCAGCCAGAGAGCAGAACCCAGATGGCAACAGCCAGAGGGCAGCAGCCAGAGGGTAGCAGCCTGAGGGACGCAGCCAGAGGGCAGCAGCCTGAGAGCAGCAGCAAGAGGGCAGCAGTCAGAGGGCAGCAGCCAGAGGGCAGCAGCCTCAGGGACGCAGCCAGAGGGCAGCAGTCGGAGGGCAGCAGCCAGAGGACAGCAGGAAGAAGGCAGGAGCCAGAGGGCAGCATCCAGAGGGCAGCAGCCAGAGGGTAGCAGCCAGAGGGCAGCAGCCAGTGGGTAGCAGCCTGAGAGCAGCAGCCTGAGGGCAGCAGCCAGAGGGAAGCAGCCAGAGGGATGCAGCCAGAGGGACGCAGCCTGAGGGCAGCAGCCAGAGGGACGCAGCCTGAGGACAGCAGTCAGAGGGCACCAGCCAGAGGGACGCAGCCAGAGGGCACCAGCCAGAGGGCAGCAGCCAGAGGGCAACAGCCAGAGGGCAAAAGCCTGAGGGCAGCAGCCTGAGGGACGCAGCCTGAGGGCAGCAGCCAGAGGGTAGCAGCCATAGGTTCCCAGGCAGAGGGTAGCAGCTTGAGTGCAGCAGCCTGAGGGCAGCAGCCAGAGGGTAGCAGTCAGAGGGCAGCAGCCAGAGGGCAGCCGCCAGAGGGTAGCAGCCAGAGGGTAACAGCCAGACGGCAGCAGCCAGAGGGCAGCATCCAAAGGGTAGCAGCCTGAGGGTAGCAGGCAGAGGGCAGCAGCCTGAGGGCAGCAGCCTTGGGTAGCAGCCTGAAGGCAATAGCCAGAGGGGTAGCAGCCACAAGGTTGCAGCCTGAGGGCAGCAGCCAGAGGGACGCAGCCAGAGGGACGCAGCCTGAGAGCAGCAGCCAGAGGGCACCTGCCAGAGGGCAGCAGCCAGAGGGCACCTGCCAGAGGGCAGCAGCTAGAGGGACGCAGCCAGTGGGACGCAGCCTGAGGGCAACAGCCACATTGTAGCAGCCATAGGGTAGCAGCCTGAGGGCAGCAGCTTGAGGGCAGCAGCCAGAGGGCAACAGCCAGATGGCAGCAGCCAGAGGGTACCAGCCTGAGGGCAGCAACCCGAGGACAGTAGCCTGTGGTTAGCACCCAGAGAGTAGCACGCAGAGAGCAGCTGCCTGAGGATATTAGCCAGAGGGTAGCAGCCAGAGGGACGCTGCCAGAGGATAGCAGCCAGATGGACGCAGCCAGAGGATAGCAGCCAGAGGGCAGCAGCCAGAGGGCAGCAGCCAGAGGGCGCAGCCTGAGGGACGCAGCCAGAGGGCAGCAGCCAGAGGGCAACAGCCTGAAGGTAGCACCTAGAGGACAGCACCCTGAGAGCGGCAGCCAGAGGGACGCTGCCAGAGGATAGCAGCCAGAGGGTAGCAGCTAGAGGGCAGCAGCCAGAGGGTAGCAGCCTGAGTGTTGCAGCCTGAGGGCAGCAGCCTGAGGGCAGCAGCCAGAGGGTAGCAGAAAGAGAGCAACATCCAGAGGGCAGTAGCCTGAGGGTAGCAGCCAGAGGGTAGCAGCCAGAGGGACGCAGTCAGAGAGTAGCAGCCAGAAGGTAGCAGCCTGAGGGCAGTAGCCAGAGGGCACCACCCTGAGGGCAGCAGCCAAAGGGTAGCAGCCTAAGGGCAGCAGCCAGAGGGCAGCAGCCTGAGGGCAACAGCCAGTGGGTAGCAGCCAGAATGTAGCAGCCTGAGGGCAGCACCCTGAGGGCAACAGCCTGAGGCCAGCAACCAGAGGGACGCAGCCAGAGGGACGCAGCCAGAGGGCAGCTGCCTGAGGGCAGCAGCCAGGGGGCAGCAGTCTGAGGGCAGCACCCAGAGGGCAGCAGCCAAAGGGTAGCAGCCAGAGGGCAGCAGCCAGAGGGCAGCAGCCTGAGGGCAGCAGCTAGAGGGCAGCAGTCGGAGGGTAGCAGCCATAGGTTACCAGGCAGAGGGTATCAGCCTGAGGGCAGCAGCCTGAGGGCAGAAGCCAGAGTAGCAGAAAGAAGGTAGTATCCCGAGGGCAGCATTCTGAGGGGAGCAGCCAGAGGGCCGCAGCCAGAAGGACGCAGCCAGAAAGTAGCAGCCAGAGGGCAGCGGCCGCAGGGCAGCAGCCAGAGGGCAGCAGCCTGAGGGACGCAGCGAGAGGGTAGCAGCCATACGGTAGCAGCCATAGGGTAGCAGCCTGAGGGCAGCAGCCAGAGGGTAGCAGCCATACGGTAGCAGCCAGAAGGTAGCAGCCTGAGGGCAGGAGCCAGAGGGTAGCAGTTATAGGGTAGCAGCCTGAGGGCACCAGCCAGAGGGACGCAGCCAGAGGGACGCAGCCTGAGGGCAGCAGCCAGAGGGCAGCAGCCGAACGGCAGCAGCCAGAGGGCAGCAGCCTGAGCGACGCAGCCAGAGGGTAGCAGCCAGAGTGCAGCAGCCAGAGGGGAGCAGCCAGAGGGTAGCAGCCTGAGGGCAGCAGCCAGAGGGTAGCAGCCTGAGGGCAGCATCAGGACGGCAGCAGCCGGAAGGTAGCAGCGAGAGGGTAGCAGTCAGAGGGACGCAGCCTCAGGGCAGCAGCCAGAGGGTAGCAGCCAGAGGCCCGTAGCCAGAGGGTAGCTGCCAGAGGGCATCAGCCAGAGGGCAGCAGCCGCAGTGCAGCAGCCAGAGGGCAACAGTCTGAGAGTAGCAGCCAGAGTGCAGTAGCCTGGGGTCAGCAGCTAGAGGGTAGCAACAAGAGGGTACCAGCCTGAGGTCAGCAGCCAGAGGGCAGCAGCCAGAGGGCAGAAGCCAGAGGGCAGCAGCCGCAGTGCAGCAGCCAGAGGGCAACAGTCTGAGAGTAGCAGCCAGAGGTCAGCATCCTTAGGGCAGCACCTAGATGGACGCAGCCAGAGGATAGCTGCCAGAGGCCAGCAGCCAGAGGGTAGCTGCCTGAGAGCAGCAGCCAGAGGGTAGCAGTCAGAGGGCAGCGGCCTGAGAGCAGCAGCCAGAGGGTAGCAGCCAGAGGGCAGCAGCTAGAGGACAGCAGCCTGAGGGCAGCAGCCAGAGGGCAGCAGCCGCAGTGCAGCAGCCAGAGGGCAGCAGCCTGAGGGACGCTGCCAGAGGGTAGCAGACAGAGGGCAGTAGCCAGAGGGTAGCAGCCATAGGGTAGCAGCCATAAGGTAGCAGCCTGAGGGCACCAGCCGGAGGGAAGCAGCCTGAAGGCAACAGCCAAAGGGTTGCAGCCAGAGGATAGCAGTAAGAGGGTAGCAGCCAGAGAGCAACGACCTGAGGGCAGCAGCCAAAGGGACGCAGCCAGAGGGCAGCAGCCAGAGGGAAGCAGCCTGAGGGCAGATGCCAGAGGATAGCAGCCTGAGGGCAGCAGCCAATGGGCAGCAGCCAGAGAGCAACGACCTGAGGGCAGCAGCAAAAGGGACGCAGCCTGAGGGCAGATGCCAGAGGACAGCAGCCAGAGGGAAGCAGCCTGAGGGCAGATGCCAGAGGACAGCAGCCAGAGGGCACCAGCCAGATGGCAGCAGCCAGAGGGAAGCAGCCTGAGGGCAGATGCCAGAGGACAGCAGCCAGAGGGAAGCAGCCTGAGGGCAGATGCCAGAGGACAGCAGCCAGAGGGAAGCAGCCTGAGGGCAGCAGCCAGACGGCAGCAGCCAGAGGGCAGCAGCTTGAGGGCAGCTGCAACAGGGCAGCTGCTAAAGAGCACCAGCCAGAGGGACGCAGCCTGAGTGCATCAGCCAGAGGGTTGCAGCCAGAAGGTAGCAGCCTGTGGGCAGCAATGAGAGGGCAACAGCCAGAAAGCAACACCCTGAGGGTAGTAGCCAGAGGGCAGCATCATGTGGGCGGCAGCCAGAAGGACGCTGCCAGAGGATAGCAGCCAGATGGAAGCATCCAGAGGGCAACAGCCTGAGGGCAGCAGCCAGAGGGACGCAGCCAGAGGATAGCAGCCAGAGGGCAGCAGCCAGAGGGCAGTAGCCAGAGGGGTAGCAGCAACAAGGTTGCAGCCTGAGGGAAGCAGCCTGTGGGCAGCAGTGAGAGGGCAACAGCTAGAGGGCAACAGCCTGAGGGTAGCAGCCAGAGAGCAGCATCATGTGGGCAGCAGCCAGATGGGCGCAGCCTGAGGATAGCAGCCAGAGGGCGGCAGCCGGAGGGCAACAGCCTGAGGGTAGCAGTTAAAGGGCAGCACCCTGAGGACGCACCCAGAGGGACGCTGCCAGAGGATAGCAGCCAGATGGAAGCAGCCAGAGGGCAACAGCCTGAGGGCAGCAGCCAGAGGGACGCAACCAGAAAATAGCAGCCAGAGGGCAGCAGCCAGAGGGCAACAGCGTGAGGGCAGCAGCTAGAGGGACGCAGCCAGAGGGTAGCAGCCAGAGGGCAGCAGCCAGAGGGCAGCAGCCACAGGGCAGCAACTAGAGGGTAGCAGCCAGACGGTAGCAGGCTGAGGGCAACAGCCAGAAGGCAGCAGCCATAGGGAATCAGCCAGAGGAAAGCAGCCAGAGGGACGCAGCCAGAGTGCAGCAACAAGAGGGCAGAAGCCAGAGGGTAGCAGCCTCAGGGCAGCAGCCTAAGGGCAGCAGCCAGAGCGCAGCAGCCTGAGTGTAGCAGCCTGAAGGCAGCAGCCTGAGGGCAGCAGCCCAAGGGTAGCAGAAAGAGATCAGCATCCAGAGGGCATCAGCCTGAGGGTAGCAGCCAGAGGGTAGCAGCCTGAAGGCAGTAGCCAGAGGGTAGCAGCCACAAGATTGCAGCCTAAGGGCAGCAGACAGAGGGCACCAGCCTGAGGGCAGCAGCCAGAGGGACGCAACCAGAGGGACGCAGCCTGAAGGAAACAGCCAAAGGGTTGCAACCAGAAGGTAGCAACCTGAGGGCAGCAGTGAGAGGGCAACAGCCAGAGGGCAACACCCTGAGGGTAGCAGCCAGAGGGCAGCATCATGAGGGCAGCAGCCAGATGGGCGCAGCCTGAGGATAGCAGCCAGAGGGCGGCAGCCAGAGGGCAACAGCCTGAGAGTAGCAGCTAAAAGGCAGCACCCTGAGGGCGGCAGCCAGAGGGACGCTGCCAGAGGATAGCAGCCAGATGGAAGCTGCCAGAGGGTAGTAGGCTGAGGGCAACAGCCAAAAGGCAGCAGTCATAGGGAATCAGCCAGAGGGCAGCACCCAGAGAGCCGCACCACTGTGGCAGCAGCCAGAGGGCAGCAGCCGCAGTGCAGCAGCCAGAGGGCAACAGTCTGAGAGTAGCAGCCAGAGTGCAGTAGCCTGGGGTCAGCAGCTAGAGGGTAGCAACAAGAGGGTACCAGCCTGAAGTCAGCAGCC